TTTTCTTTAATAGTTTTATGAATTTTCATCCTATCCTTAAAATCTCACCTTCTTTAGATTCTTGAAGTTTTTCTTTACATTTTGATATATAGGTTACTTAATATCAAAACGCTTCCCTAATCCTCTATAAATCATTAAAGTTTTAACTCCTTTATTGCTACAACAATTTCTTTGAAAATTTTCTTTGTTTGAATATCAGTATACAAACTTTGACTCTTAATATTTCATCACCTATCTGTCCGTTTTGGATGAACTCACCTCTTTTAGATTTGTAGAAACTTACTCTATATTTTTCATCTAAGTATTAAGACCTATTAACTTAGTACCAACATCTAGAAAGGGAGAAAAAGAGAAGAGAAAGAAATTTTACAACAACGATTTTGTATACATTTTGTTTTTCCTTAATATCTCTATGAGTTTCGATCCTACAGAGATGAAACAGATATCATTCTACTCACAGAAAGCTGCTCTATAAATTTTATTATACTATATCATAATATGAAAATATTTCCCTGACTCGTAAATCACTCACAAAGTAGTGACGACATTTTTCTATATCTATCAAACCCTTCTTGAAGATGACAAAAGAAGAAAAACAAGAGATTTAGGATTTATATAAATCATCATAAAATGTTAATCACTAGACCAAATTTAACGTTTTAATTACCGTTAGAATCGTAGAAGTCTGCTCTACAACTTTAATTAAGGACTCAAGACATGATTACTTATCACCAATATCATGTTCAGAATACTTTTGTAAAACAAAAATTCATAAAAAGATTTTCTCTTACTGCAGTCAGAGATATTACCAAATATGGAAATCAAATCTAGAATGATCTACGAAAATCTGATTGGCTCCCAATCACTACTTTTTCGCATTTTTTAACTGTACATTAAAAATTCTTATACTATTTATATACGATTAATAATTATATAAACTATAAATAAGAAAACTTTACTTTTAGAATCAATAAATAACACTTTGGGATCAACGCTTATTAAAAAAGTGAATGAAACCTAAAAATTCAAGACTTTTGAGTGAATTTTATATAAAACTAAGTTTTTTTTTTTTTTTAAAAGAAAATTTTATACTAGAACTATAGAATCTAATAAAGATGTCGCAATCAGAACGACCAAAGGCAAAAGAACTTCCATGTATTTTCCAAAGTTTAGCCAAGAATTATGAACAAATTGGCTTAAGCATTTGTGCAACAAATCCGAAACAAACTTGGAGGCATGCAGACAGTGCAGCAGCAGAAAGGCGGCTCCTGTTATATCACCCTTTTATACCTGAACTTGTAGATCGTCATTCTTCGTTGAGTTCTTACTCGATCTGCCAAACACATTATAATAACCTTATCTCTAAAGATCATTTTTATCAGCGGCTATTAAACAATTCGTCATCCACATCATCCTCATCATCTTCGTCTTCTGCTCACAAAGATAAAAAATTTCGAACAGATGCTAACTCTGATATTAATTCTACGTCTATTTCTAGAATTCATGAAGAGGTATCTGATGTTAGTGGGTTGCGCTTATTGGTAGAGTTTGATGAAAGCAAAATAAAAGGTCGAGAAAATAGTGAAGATTTAGCATACTTCACTAACACGATTACGGAATTACTTTTGCAATTAGAAAATCAAAAAGAGGAAATATTAGAATTAAGAAGAAAAATAAATAACTATGTGAGGAGATAATTCGTTTAAGAGAATCATATTAGAAGAAATGTGAAGAGAATGATGAACTTATCGAACGGTGAAATTTTCGGCACAATGATCAGCACAAACATATAGAAGAAGTTGTTAATATCACACAACTTGAACGAGAATGTTTATACGAAGAGATTGAATCTCTAATCAGAGATAATAATAAATTTTCTTTAGAAAATCTATTAAACTATGATCCACAAACATGGCTGAGTAAACATAATCAAGTTGTCATTAAATTTATCGAGACACTAACCTATAATAATTTTAACCTAGATTCCTTAAGTATCGAAAAGAATTTTAAAAGTGCAATGGCTGTCAATTTAATATATGGGTCCAGACATGGAAAATATGTCTCTGAGATTAATCTTCTAGCATCAGCTATCAAATATTCCATTGCGTGATCGAAATCCATTATTAACATTGATAACCATATTACGTGTTCAGGTTAATATTTTTATATTTAGTTTTATTTAATTTGTTTTTAACTGTTAATAATTTTTTCAGTATTTAATAAATATTAAATTAAATAATAATATATAGGAAGTTATTCTCGTTTTCAAAGTTGGTTAAACGGATTATCAGAAAGAGAAGAGCCTTTACCTGATGGACTTTTGTTTGTAGCATTTGATAATGAGCAGAAAGGGCAGCAAAATTATCTTGATCGAGGGATAAACATAGTAATATTTCATATTGTTACTAGTTTTGTTGCTTTTAACATGGAGCCGCAAAATCATATTCAATGTACTAACACACCTTGGGCATTTAATTTTCTTAATAGGCTACAATATGAAAATCTTTTTGAAATTACATTAGAGATGCAAGAAGCAATAGATCAAGAATTATATGCTTATCTTGGCAAAATTCTTGAATTATTATGTGAAGAAAAACTATCTGCGACTAATGAAATTGATTCTTTTATAGCTAATACAGGTTCAAGTAGTCATTGTGACAAACGATGCACTAGCTGCGAAGAGCAAAATATTGAAAATCGAAAGCAAGTTTGTTCTAATTATCAAGCTTGTCTACCAACATTGTCAGAATTACCTAAACAAGACGTTTCAGGATTAGAGAAAAGCGATAAAGAACAAGCAACTATGTTTAAACTATATCATGTTGAAAAAGAAACTAATTCACCCACTGTACCAAGAATTAGTGTTACTCAGAAGTCGTCTGCAGACCAAGGAGTTAATATTCCAGAAATTTTTGTTCCTGATCCTCTTAATATTAACCCAAATTCAACAATAAATGTTAAAAAAGTTCTTTCCCATATTGAGAAAATTTCAGGAATTAAAGAGGAAAGGCGCCAATGGGTGGCTGTTATGTGTGATGGCGTCCCATATCACCGTATAATTAAAATAAAGGAGAAATACCCTTGGCTTGTTCTTATTCTTGGGCAATTGCACGAGGAAATAAATATGCTTCGAGCATACGTAGAATTGAATTGGTAAGGTTATGTTGTATTATTTTTGTATATTTAAGTCGAAAGTTTGAAATACTAAATTTAGACTAATATATAATTATGGTACCAGTTTAGTAAGGCCACGCAAAGTTAATTTTTTATTTTGCATAACGTGGAATCTGAAAAATTGGGTCAGTCAGTCGAATTTTTTTTTTTTTGTTGCTGCTGTCATGTTCGATAATTCTGGAAAATTAAGATCTCTATCAGGTGAAACTGGTTAAAAATGATGGAAAAAAATAAATAGCAGAAATCGCACGATTGGCACTTAAAAAAAAAAAAAAAAAAAAAAAAAATTGAAAAATTGAAAAAATGGGCAGTTGGGTTATGCAAAACGAAAAATCAACTTTGCACGGGCTAATATAATTGTGACTCCAAGAGAAAGCCTGCAAATCTCGCTTTTATGCATTAAATGCATAAATGCATAGCTTGTTTGCTCTTGGCATCACTATCTGCTAGTAATTAATGTATATACAATTAACCAAATCTATTGTTTAACATTAGGTTGACAAAAAAATTTATAGTTGGCCTTTGTCACTTCTGGCTAAATTAAAAAATTCAATTTATCAGATGATATTTCAAGAATTTATATTGTAATAAAATTTACTAAAAACTATCAAGCTGTAGCAAATTTTAAAGTGATGAAGGTCGAGTGGAAGAT